GTAATGGGTAGAGGCCAGAGATGTTTCGAATCATCCACAACAGCCCCCACAGCAAAGAATTATCTGGCCCCAAATGTTGATAATGGCGCTGTTGAGAAGCCCTGCATTAGAAGAATCTAAACAAGCCCGTCTTAACTAAGGCAGAGGACATTGGCTTACGTTGAACAGAATTTTATTCAGCTGGAAAGAATCCTAATAATCTCCTAGCTGAGTTTTTATTTTTAAAACTGAAAGCTTACAAGAAACCCTGACATGTAAAACAGATAAAGGTGGTGCGCCTCAGTTGACGGGCAGTAGGATGGCACTACCCCTGCCCAGGTGACTTGGAAGAACCCTCAGGACCTCAAGGAACAGAACCTGAAAAATACTGATCTAGTGCAAACTCGGAATTTTATAGATGAGGAGACGTAGGGCCTTGAGAAGTAAAATGACCTGCCCGAGACGCCACAGTAAGTCATTGGCCAGGAAACCAATTGTAGGACGAGCCTCAGTCCTCCATTCTTTTCACCCCATATTAAGAGCATGGAGGGGAAAGAGGGTTTGCTCCATGGCTTTGGAGTATTGTTTCTCATAGGATTCCAAGAGGTTGAGCTATGCCTAAATAATCATTTGATGCAAGTTCTGGGGGGGGAAATCTCATCTTTGTAGCACTTCGTTTCCTTGCAGCTACCTCAGCTAGCTTTTTTTATTGTTGTTGACGTTGATTTTCCACCTTAGCATCGTGGATGCTCAGAGCTTAGCAATCCAGCGTTTTGCAGATGCTCGCTAGAGAGGTGACGTGGACTTGCTCAGTGTCTCACAGCAAGTTCTTGGCTAGCAGAGCTGACTAGAATCCAGACCCCTGCACTCCTCCTGGTCACGGTTCCACCACACCACGGCCCCACTTCTGTGGGCCTCCGCCTTAGAAAGCCACCTGCCACACCTACGTAGAGATGCTCACACTTCCTCTTTCCAAAGTATCCCCAGTGTGTGCGTGTGAGTGTACAAGAGATCTCCCAAGTCCTGTGAAGGATCATAAGATCAGAATTTAAGAATCATTCCTTGAGAACAGTTGTCTCCAGCTGCTGGCCCCCGTTGGACCCCGTGATATATATATATATTTTTTTTGCTCTTTTTCCACTTTCCTTTTCTGGCTTAAATCTGTGGTGTAGTTGCTCTATGTGCTAGTACAAGAAAAGCAGTAATGAAAATGTCACAGTATTCCCTTATATTTGTTTGGAGCTTGGTACTTTGTAAGATACAATTTTTAATTTTTTAATGAGGTGGAACATACCTACAGTAAATACACAAATCTTAACTTTGCAACCTGATGAGATTTTACACATGCGTATATACCTGGGTGCCCAGCACCCAGATCAAAGCGTAGAATATTTCCATCGCCCCAGAGGCTCCCTGGTTCCTTCCTAGGCGTAATTCCCCTGCCCCCGAGGCAACCACTGTTCTGATATCTGTCACTTGAGAGCAGTTTCGCCTGTCCTTAACCTTCGTATAATTGGAATCATGCCTTTTATGATTCATCTGTATTTTTAAGTGTTGTTCATTCTTTATTACAGCTAGGTGGTATTCCCTTTCATGGTTATACCACAATTTATTCATCCATTCTTCCGATGATGGACATTTGATTGTTTCCAAACTTTGGCATTTATGAATAAAAATGTAATGGCTATTCTTGTACATATCATTTGGTGAACATAGGTTGGGTATATTCCTAGGAATTGGAACATAAAACCTACAGTTCCAGAAAGCATTTTTGCATACCTCATTTGATCTGAGACTCACTATAACCGCGTGAGAGAGATGGGGTAAGTAGTCATGTTCCCATTGTATTTTTGAGGAAAATTAGTTATGGAAGGGTCAAGTAGCTTGCCCAGGGTTACGGAGGAACTGACGGAGCTGAAACTTGGCTGTGTTCTAACACACCAGGCTGCAGGATTTCTTTGCCGTACTCTGTCGCCTTTGTGGCATGAAGTAAACTAAACTACAGGTGACATTCACGAAGACTGACTATGTCATGTTAGACAAACTACAAGCAAGTGTATTTTTCTCCTTCCTGACACTTTTATACAGATGGATTATGGGTGGTTTTTCCTGACGCTTTTATACAGCTGGATTATGGGTGATTCTTCCTGATGCTTTTATACAGCTGGATTATGGGTGATTTTATTTGGAATCATCTGATGGTGCTAGACGCAGCCCAGGGGATGCCATGTGGTACTGTTTGGGGAGTGGTGACGGCCTGGACGCGAGGTGCTTGTTAGGTTCTAGTTTTATGGAGGGATAGGAATGGAAATTTCTATACAGAGGTTATCGATGCCATTTCTCGGCATGTGGCCAGGATTATATTTCAGTGTCTTGAAAAGTAACAGTTTATCCATTCCCTAAAGGTCTCCAAGTAAGAAGTCTCTTTCTTGGCAGCCCCAAGTAAATGATGGTGTTCTGAGGAAGGAGTGCATCACACAAGTGTCCTTTCTGTTTTATTCTCTAATTCTTCAGCGTGTTGCAGGGGTAACACACACACACGTGCACGCACGCACACATGCATGCACACAATGAGAGTTGATTCCTGCCCCTCCCGGATGCTTCCAGAGAATCTGTTGGTTTTACAGAGAAAGCAGCCAATCGCTGACTTCTCCGCTGTGCCGCCAGCTTCCCTGTCGCCGCACAGCCTGGAAACTGCTTGCAGTTAGGAACTCTGATGGTGAGGAGTGATCCGTGTAAGATCCGCCTGGGGCGTCAGCAGGATAATAGATGGCAGCCCAGCCTTTAGATCTATCAGGAAAATCAGTTGCAGATGTTCACACCTGATGGCAGTGACAGTTCGTTTGCTGCTGCTCCTGTCTTCCTAGGAACTTGGCCTAGTCTCAGAGATGTGCCATTTGTGTTTAATTACATATACCGTGGTCATACTGTGTAGACAGTCCTATTTTAATTTATTCTATAATTGCAGTGCAAAAGGGGTGGGAATGGGAAGTGGAGCTTTTAGGGCTGTGTGCCAAAAACTTGAGGGCTTTTCTAGCTTGATCAGTAAGTGCCTACCACATACCAGATTACTCAGGGGGAATCACAGATGTGTGTGGTGGGCCATCAAACCCTTCAGGCCACAGAGTGTGTCTGTGTGTGGAAGGCGCTGGTCCCTTGTGGCCCCACAGAGGTTTATGGCAGACACAGCTCTACTTTTGATCCTCTTCACCCCAACTGGATATCTTATCCGTTAGCCACATATTCCTGACGTAGGGAGAATCATGTAGGGATTAATGATGATAAGAGGAACAAAATAAAAGTTATTTTAAATAATGATAGTAATTAGGAGAATCATAAATAAAGGTCAATTTGGAAATCTAGGGTAGAGTTTAATCTTTAGACATAAACCATATGCAAATACATATGTGGGTTTCTTACTCATTTATCTGTATTTGGCCCGCAGATTTCTTTATTAATAACCAACCAGAATAAATAACTAGATTAATGATAAGCTGCGTCACCGTTCTGCTCCAGACTTGGCACCACTGCTCACATCCTCTCTCTTACACCACTGGTTGCCACACTGCACACAGCAGACGGCTGTGGGAAGACCTCTCAGTGCCCTTAGACAAAGATAAATCCCTTCACCTCTCGGTCAAACTCAAAGGTAATGAATGGTGAGGTGGCTCTGACTGAGGGGAATAAGTTCAGGAAACAGGCTGCGTCCAAAACAAATCGTCACGGCCACGTTCACAGTGCCGGTGAAGACATCGCCTGGTTCTGCACATAGGCCTCCACGGCTGCCGTTTTAAGTGTGCGTGTGAGTTTTTGCACGAGGCATAGGAGGACGTGCAGTGTGTGCTTCCTAAGACGTGCTGCACACAGCCTGGTATTCAGAGGGCGACTTTGTGATTTGTTAGACATATTTTAGTGTATCTAGAAGTTTTAGACTTCAGAGGCCTCAAAAGTGTCCATTGTACCATAAAAATAAGAGGAATGTATAGGGAAAGCAATTCTTGGCGGGGTTTTTTTTGCATGTCAAGAAAGTGAGAAAAGTATGACTACACTTTCCCTCTTGGGTGGAGGCAGCTGCCGGACAGCAGAAGGGGGCCGGCAGGTAGCCTTTCCGCGTGTGTGCCCCGTGCACGCTGACTCGGGGCAGTGCTAGCCGGGAGAGGCATGCCCCTTTTGAAAACACTCACTCCTGCAGGCTCATCTCTGCTACCATTTTCAGTGCTTACGCTACCAGAAGAGCACTCCAGTGTCAGGATAGATAAGTGGGTGATAAAGCCATGCTCTTAGATGCAGTTACCACATGTCCTGGAGAAAAAGGGTCCCCACTGCTATATCCTAGAGGGACGGGATGGAGAGCAAGTGTTCAGATGATTTTGAAGGGTACTCACTACCCTTTTAAAACTGAGTTTCCTGGGCCGGCCGAGTGGCTCAGTTGGTTAAGAGCTCAGTTGGTTAAGAGTGCAAGGTGTGAGCAACAGCAGTTCGATTCCTGGGCTGAGCTGAGCTGCCACTGAGCTGCTAACAGGTGGCAGGATGGCTCAGCTAAATAATAATAAGAAGAAATAAAATAAAATTGAGTTTCTTTTCATTCCTCGATCCTTGCACACTTCAGCTCAGGCCCTCGCTTTGCTTTGTAACTGCCTTCTAGAAGTTCAGGGTCTAGAACACTGCTGCTGAGCAGATGCCTGTGTGAGGATTTTTCTCATCCACCTTCCTGTTTTCAAACAGTTTCTAAGGAATTGAACCACCTCCCAAGCTCACCCATTTTTTTGTTTCATGTCATTTATAAGAAGTTCTTCCTTTTACCTCTTTTTGTCCACAGTGGGGTTGAAGAACAGCTGCTTCTAGTTTTTGCATTTAGACCCTTGATTCTTATGCTCCCTTCAGAAGAGACCAGGACGTACCTGTTTCGGGAGTTTGGTTCTTTTCTTAACCCTAATGGGCCCACCTAGCTCCTGTGGAAGTTCAGACGGGGAAATCAGGTATTATCAGCGCCTGATGTAGGACCCTCCACAATGTCACGGCCACCGCAAGCCATTCCCTCCCTTCCTCTTCACCAGAACTTTCTCTCTGACTGCTTCGGTGGACTATTCAACGTCAAATTTTGTCTTGCCATTCAGGACCAAGTGAGGGAGGGGACATCAAGATGATGTTTCTTTTGAGCCATGTGCAGTGATACTTTGCTAAGCAAATCTTAGGTTTGCCCATGACAGTGATAGCAGTCTGTTCCTTCATCAAAAGAGGGGGAAATGTCATTTTGATATTATGACCGACTTTATATTCACAGTTTCTGGCCCCCAAAGAAAATCCAAGCGAAGACACAGCAGCCGCATTTGAGGAAGGCGGTGACGTGGATGACTTAGTAAGTGCTTTTAACTCACGCCAGGTGTTCTAACAACCGAAACCTCTGGGCTATAAATGTACCACAAAGGCTGCTTATTGTACACTCGTTTCTCATTTGTGTTTTAATCTCTACCACACTGGAAGCTTCCTCCATAGTTATTTATTGCCGTTATAAATCTAATCAGGTAGGTGATTTTTATGATGGAAATCCCTGTCCTCAGTGGTTTTTATTATATTGTTCATTGAATTTAACCCTCCTCTTCGAAGGACTAAAAAAGCCAGGGGTGCTATTCCTGTACGAGCAGAATGTTACAGTTTACTGAAATTGCGCTCAACCAAATAAGCAGTACAGCATGTGATTCATGTGGGTTGATAAATAAAAACAGCCTTTAAAAAGCCTAATTTTTTCAATGTTCTCAATTAACTCAATGTAAACAAAATAGACTGACAGGCATGCGGGGGTTTTGGACCTCGTGACACAGCGTCTGGATGCCTGGGAGGCTGTGTAGACGTGTTGGCGTTTATATCAGTCTTCACGTGTGGCAGCTTTCCGCCTTTAAGCCTCACGTGATAACTGTCCAGTAAAAACTTTCAGCCTTTCACAGAGAAGTTCTTAGTGCTATAATGAGATGCTTGGTATTGAACTCTTAAAATAGGTAGCAGTGGATAAGTGTGCAAGTCCATGCATGCCGCCAGTGACGAGAGCCATTGTCGTTAAACTTTTCCTCACCAGAGAAGCAGCGGTCTGACATTGGCCTGGTTCGTTTCTAAAAATACTGTTCCTGTTTGCAGCTGGACTTGATATAGGTCCTGGATGTGTGGGGGATCTGCGAGCCCTACCATCACTGTCGTGCTGGGAGTTCGACACGGAACAACCTGGAGGATGCCATTCAAGGCGACCGGAAGCTCTGGAGATGGTCCCTGCAGGCTACCTGGAAGCAAATCACCTGACTCTCTGTGTAATAAACATACATACGAGTATATGAGGGCTGTTTAGACCCCATACAAGTTTATAAAGAGGTACTGTTGTTTTCTGATCTGTTATTTCTCTTGTGGTCTTACTGATCTCCGTATATAATGCACGTGCTTTGAAGTTTCTGGAAAATGGAGTCCCTCCTGACCTGGTATAGTGGTGAGGATTGCAGCCCTCAGGAAGTGATCTCACCCAGAACTATGGCGTGGTCACTAGTGAGTTTCCAGGCCTCCCCAGGAGGTGCAGCCCATTGTCTGTTCATCTCCTGGTGATCACAGCTTTCACTGATCAGATGGTGGCATTTGTTTCCTAGCAACAGAAAGCTGGGTTTGGAAAGTCATGGGTAAGGTCTGACCCGTTTCTCTTTTTATTGAAGCCTTTTAGCCACACATTACTTTGGCTGTGTATTTGGTGCTGTTCCTTAAGCAGGGTGGGAGGGGGAGCACCGCTTCCTTGCGTACCCATGTTAGGCAGTGAGTTACGGTGTTCTCGTGAAGAAAAGATACCCTTTTGGTCCAGCCTCTGGCATATCAGTGAACCCTAAAGCAAAAACAAAAACTGAGAAATTCACCACCAGTAGTTAGGATTTGATCATTTCACTACTGTACTTACAGGTCTCACCGAGAGAAACTTTGATTGTGTGAAAACACTTCTTTCTTAATTTCCCAGTCTTGCCCATCTCCACCTCAGCCTCCTTTCCTTTCTCTCTGGATGATGTTTCCTTTCCTAAAATAAGAAAACAGCAAAACCCTTCTTTTGTTTTTCCTGATCTCATTTCTCCCCCGAGCTCCAACTCCTCCCTGCTTGGAGTCACAGCCTTCGTGGTGCCCAATCTCCCATATATACCCTCAGCACCTCCACAAATGGCCATTGACTCACTTCATTTTGCAAACATAACATCAGAGGCGTAAATGACCCGTTTCTCCTGTGGCCCGCTGCTCATTACTAATCGTCTGCGAAGGAATTCTTCAGTGCTGTGCTGAGAATTGAAGCCCCTCAGTGCACTGACTGAAAATGGGTCTGCACGTAGAACAGCTTTCAGTCCCTGAGGCGAGAGGGGAGTGGTTTACTGGGCCTCTAGGACACCCCTCGATGCTGTGCACACTTGAGTCAGTCTTAACATACAGGCGCCCATTTAAAGCAACCCCAGTGAGGGATGCCCTGTCTTACTGCCCATTTTGATAGTTGAAGCCCAGGGGATGTTTGTGACTCAGATAAATAAAACAGACATTTCATAGAATCAAGAGGGAAAAATTTGTTTCTAAAATTCTGCATTATTTTTATCAGCTCCTCCTGGCAATATGAGTCCATTCAATGAGTATGGCCTCAGAAGCATCCCTTGTCTTTGGCAGTTTGGGGAATTTCCTCTTGAAAACAATCCTTCCTTCTGTCAAACCAGGAAAATTTGGAATCAATTTAGTGCTTTAAATCTTCCGATACTTTTTGATTTATGTTGTATGTAGTGGGTTATTTTTGCTTCCCTCACCCTGCTTTTACCTAAATTATCTGAATAGCTGCAGGAAGAAATGAGTTTAATAGGCTAAGGAGAGAAAAGACTAAATTAGCCATGTAATTTCTAAACCTGTGTCATGTAGGCAGTGTATATTGTACTGTGTAGACTTGGTCAGAGCAGTTGTTCTCAGTAGGGGCAATCCTGTGTGATTTTTAAAATTTTATTAAATATATTGGGATGACATTGGTTAATAAGATTATATAGGTTTAGATTTACAGTGCTAATACATCATTTATCTAATGCATTGTGTGTTCACCACCCAAAGTCGTCTCCTTTGACCCCCATATATTTGACCCCCTTTACCCTCTTCTGCCTCCTCCTCCCCACCCTTTCCCTCTGGTAACCACCATGCTGTTGTCTGTATCTGTGAGTTTTTGTTTGTTTGTCTTGTTTGTTGCTTTCAGCTTAATAGCCCACATGAGTGAAGTCACATGGTTCTTGACTTTTTCCATCTTAAGTGCATCGTGTTTTGAATGACCGCACCAAGTTCCTGTTGCCCTGACATCAGATTTGCAGATCTGTAGAACTCCTAGGTGTCCTGCTGACTGTGGCCCTGGGAGAGCAAGGAGCACGTGGTCCTCAGTCAGGTTCTACTAGTCCTCAGAGCCCGTTAGTCCCACAAATGATAGGCTTGTATGCATGTAAACTGGAAATCGCTGTCAACACCGTCACCTTCGGTCTTCTGTGTCACTAATGTTTATTGACTTACAGGGGAGGTAGAGATACAGGATGGGTATTCACTCCCCAGTCACAATCCTAATGCCCCATCCAGGGTATGTCCCCCCCGATAAGAACCACTATTTTAAATGTTGGAGTTTGGTCCTTTGCCGGTTAATTTCTATAGAAAATTTAGAATCTTGGAAAATTCCTCAGAAAGCCATATTGGGGATAGGCAGTTTTTCACCTAGTCCAGGATAGTTTGGAAAATAAATGGACACCTGCATACTTGTGTTTTGAATACGTGCAGTGCTAATGACGTTACAGCTAATTTTGATTCCGGCAACATGTAATCTGTTGGCCCGCTGGCTCACATTGGCCTCCTTTTGTACTGTCCCCTTTCCCCAGGTTTTCTAGGCTCAGAACACAAGCTGATTGCTCATTTGGAGTGGATACCAGGAGGGGACTCAGGGTGGGTAGGGAAAGAACACTAGGGCAGCCCAGGTCCTGGATTCAAATTCTGCCTCCGCTGCTTGCTGTGTGGCCTCTGTAAAGATGCTAAGCCTACTAACTGCCTCCCAGGCTTACTAAGAAAGAGCGTGCCCATGACAGTACTTTGTAAACTGTAAAGTGCTTCACACAAGTAAAGTGTAACAGTATTGTGATATTATGAAAACTCAAAATAGAAGGCATGGGCAGAACTTTTTAATTGTTAATAGATCTGCCTCCTATTGCTGTTTCCTTCTTATTTCTTTTAGAACCTTGAGTATTCCAGTGCTAGTTTTCATCATTATCTATTGCTATGGGACTTAGGTTTTCTTACCTAGTTATTACATGAAAATTAGAGTCTCTTTGTGATCAAGGTAGGGAGTTAGGACCCACGGTAGGTTTCCATAGTTTTGATAAGGTGACCACGCATCCCAGTTTACTTGGGAATTGTTATCCTGGCATAATTGGTAACACCCTCTTTCACTCTCACAAGCATCCTCCAGAAGGATTATAGAATATGGTCTCCCTAGGTTTTGACCACATTACATTAGTATCGAAACCAGGGCCCATGGAATGGCCATATTCTGCCTTGCCAACCACCTCTCCTGTAAACTGCCTGCTGGAGCTTAAATACACAAGGAGCAAACACAAAATGGAAATCAGTGTAGGAGCAGCTAGGTGTGGTTCACGGCTTGGGTTTGTAGTCTGCCTCTTACATCCGCATCTTGCCACCACCTGGCTGTCGTGCTTGGAACCGAGCAAGACCATCTTGTTGGGCCTGCTCAGAAAGAGTAAGCCCCAGCTTTCTTGCCTGGCTGGCAGCATGGAGCAGAAAGTAGAAATGCATTGGAACTTTAACATACATATAACTTATCAGCGGTAGACCCCTAATAACTGGCCCAGGCACCAGTTGCATTTGTAAGTCGCCCTCCCGGTAGTGAGGAGGGGAATATTAGGAGGGGGGTGGGGAGAGAGGGCTTCCTCCCCCCCACACACACACACACTTTCACCCCCATATAGGTCAGCCCACCTAATCGGGAGTTCATAATCCCTGCTTAGATGGTACGTATTGGCTTTCTGTGGTCCTTTTGGAAAGGAAGGGAACGCCCCATTTCTCCACCTGAACATAATCCTGGGCTAGACCTCCTGTTCTTTAGAGGTATAATGGCATAACGCTTCAAAGCGTCACAGACACCAGATACTCCTGGGTTTATTAAGTTCTAATATCAGGGCCGGCCGAGTGGCACGTTGGTTAAGAGCTGGCTTGGAACACCAGAGGGCCCTGGTTCGGATCCCACATATGAGGGCCAGTGACACTGCCTTCTACAGCTAAGATGCTGAACAACAGCTCAACCTGGAGCTGGGCTGCTGTGAGTCGCCAGCGATGGCGTAGGATGCAGCCCCTGCTGCAGTGGGTTGCCATGGGCTACCATGTGTAGCCAGCAGCCAGCGTGAGCGGCCAGCAGCCGCAGTGAGCG